GCACTCCTCCAGGTAGAGCCTCCTGTGAGGGAACTGCATATTGTGGTAACAATTTCCCTTCCTAACAAGGAGCGGATTGAGGATACGTCCACAGACTCACCTCTGCCATGGCTCAAACTCCCACTTTGACTAAGGGACATACTTATTTGCAGCAAAGGAGCACTGTGTCCACCAGCTTGTGGGTAAAAATGTGGATGCTAGTAGGCCCTGTAGAATATATAGATCCTCCAAATGCCCCCGTCCCTATTCCTGTGGCAGTCTTTGTGGCCTGTAGAGAGAGAGTACGGGAAATTCCCACTGATGTCTGGTATACAGAGGGATCTAGTAGAGGCAACCCATCCACATGGACTGCAGTCACTATTCAGCCCAATAGGAACAAACCACGGCAGTCAGTGGGCTGAACTCAGAGTGGTTTGGCTGGTGATGACTCATGAGCCTCGGCTGTTAACTCTTTGCACTGACAGTTGGGCTGTTCCAAAAGGATAAATCCTATGGCTTGGAAAACAGGAAGCTAAGGGATGGACAATGATGAATAAGCCCTTGTGGGGTCAGGATATGTGGAAAGACATTTGGGTTCACCGGCAAGAGCCTGAGGCAGTCCTCATGGTCTTCCACTTCTCAGCTTACAAAGCGCTGACACCCCCTGGTGATCAGGAAGCTGATGCCCTAGTTCTGTTATAAGCCTGGCAACTGACCCTTCAATAGATAGAGCAGGTTAGGCACATAGGAAGAGCAGTCACCATAGCGCCCAGGTGGGATGCCATATTGACAAGGATGCCGGATTGCCCTTGAGATTCAGCGACTTGGTTAATGCAATAACAGCATGTCTTGCATCTTCTAAACAATGCCCAAAGCAACTGACAAAGAAGTCTGGGTCCATCCAATGGAGTTTCCAACCAGTGAGGGCTTGGCAAGTTGATTATATTGGCCTCCTCTCTCTTGGTAAGGGTTCTAAACATGCCTTAGCTTGTGTGGACACTGTGTCCGGCTTAACTCAAGCTATCCTCTGTCATCGCACAAACCAGGCTGCCACCATTAGGGAATGAGAGAAGCCCAGTACCATGTAGGGAAACCCTCGGTCAAACAGTCATCTGAGGTGACATTTTAAATGTCATGATGTGTAAGACCGGGGAAAATAAGAGGACATTGGATGGAGGTTCCATTTCCCCTATAACTCACAGCAGCAGGGTAGGTAGAAAAGGAAGAATGGAATATTAAAGCAGCAGATCAAATTATTAACAGGTAAAACCACCCTGGCTGGATGGATTAATGTACTATCCCAGGGTTTACTACATTTGAATGATCAACCAGTAGGACCTGTTGCCCCATATGCCATACTGGGGACCCCTGCTGAGGCACCCAATACTGTAAAGTTTTAGAAGTCTTGGGAAACGGTCATTGCCCTAAGTCTCACAGTGAACCAATGTGCTATGCTGCTGAGAACACCAAGCCCCATTACTCCTGGGAAGGGAACTGTCTACTGGAATTTGCCATGGGATGTAATCTTGGGATGGGTGAATTACTTCACACCTCTGGGTGAAGCGGAACTACTCAGTCTGCGTTGGGATCCTGTTGGCCTTGTACAAGATGGATCCGTTGAAACGCACTATACCTGGAATGGAACATGCACCAGTGAAAGAGGGCAGAAGGCGGGGATCCTGGTCTGGCATATCTTGCCCCCAGTCCATCCCCTCATGTCTGACAGTGCTGCCTCCCTTGGCCAACATGTATGGTATGCACAACCAGGTCAAGTTCCTAAAGCTGCAGGCATACTAATATCTAAGGATCACACCACAAGCATAACTCTTACAGAAGGGGAAGACTTTCTCATACAAATTCCTACTAAATATCCGTCTTTCCAACCTTGTACTTCTGCTGCTCCTGTGGTGTCTGGTCACAGAATAGGCAGCTGACGGAAATATCTTTCTACAGGGGGCCCACTTGTATGCTTGGCAAAGAAATCAACCCAACTGTTGGATATGCGAGCAGCTGCCCCTCTCCAGCTCATCTGGATTGCCATAGAGGATAACCCACGCTCCAGGGAGGAGACTGGAAGGCCCTGAAGTAGTACATTAAGGAAAAACAAGCTAGGACTAGTACTTGTAATTCACCTGATATTACCAATATGGTCATCCAGAACCCTGGCTTGTGGCACACACTATCAATAATGTGGGGCATAGGTATTCTTTCTCTGTCAAACTTCACAATCAGCCTGTCAAACTACTGACCAGGGGGTCCTAAAAACACCACCACCAGAGCCATTGGTGGCTATGCTCAGATTTGGGATAGGTTTATGTGGCTCTCCCCAAGTTATGAACATTTGAGCACTTATGCACCCCTATGTTAGGAACAGAAAAATCCTTATAAACAGAATCAACCCAACTGTACCAGGGATATGGGATAGTTAACTCCAAAACTGTGTAGTCATTCCGCCACATTAAAAAATAGCAACTCTTGCCTGGCTGCACTGCCCAAGTAATTTATTATTTCCCTAAATGGCACCCAGTGGTTGTGTGGCACAAAATATCTGGCCATGGCTTCCACATGGGTGGTTGGGCCGCTGCACCCTGGGTTTTCCCTGGGCACAAGGGAGAACTCATCCTATGGTAACAAAAGTTGCCAACCTCCCTCTCCTAAAAGCCAGAAGGTCACATTCCGTTTCCCACTGGCACCATCATTTGGCCTCCATCTTTTTTCCCTCCATTGGCCTGGAGGACAACATAGGACACACAGAACCCCTTACTAACTTCACCCAACAAGGCTTCAATGATAGCCGACAAAGCCTGTCCTTAGTGAACACTGAAATGTCTCCAAAGAACACAGCCGTCCTCCAAAATAGGATGGCCTTGGACATTACTACTGCCTGGCAAGGAGGCACCTGTGCCATTATCCAAGCAGAATGTTGTGTTCACACCTGCTGACGTATCATCTTCAAGTCATATAAGGACATAGTGAACTCCCTGAGTGATCCAACCCCAAGCCTAGGGGCCTTCATTAGTGGTTAGGATCATGGGGCTCTGGGTGGAAAAAAACAGTACTTATTTTAGGAATCATTATCTGTTTTCTCTTGCATATGCCTTATTGCTGCTGGGCTATCTGCCTCCAGTGCAGACAGATATCCACCAAACAAGCCACCTCCACACTAATCAAACCCCTTGCTGATCACTCAGGGCACATTGCAGAATAAAGGAGACATGTAATGGTGTTAAGAGCCAGTCACCAGGTGTGGAGTGTTGGAGGTGGTCATTGAGAGAACCTGACTGTCAGTTGAGCAGTCAACTGAACCCAGGTGAACAAAGGCTCTTTACCCACTCCACTGTCCTTCGAATCTAAGTCCCACCCCCTGTTCCTTCAAGGAGTCACTTCAAGGATGCAGCCTTGAGACTGTGCTATTGAGACCATCCAGACCGAACTCCATTATAGGGGATGGAATCCCATTAAATGTTCATTTGCTTCCCAATTCCTCTTGGTGTCTGCAAAACAGATCAAATAAAACTATCTTCTCTTTGTAGTTACAATTTCTAAAAAACTCGACCAAATTCTCTAGTCATTTCAACTTACTTTTGTAGACCTTGTCACATTCCTGCCTGAGACTGACACTAGTATCTCTCCATTATACGTCATCAAGCTTCAAGACATATCTTGTCCAACATTTTAATAAGCCATTCTATTAGGTGTGTGTAAAATCACAGGTCTAAAGTAGTTAGACATGCCTTACTATATTTCAGGATTAATTTCTTTTCTAACTTTAACGACTTCCTGATACTACCACACTAGCACGTTTGGGAAGTTCACTTCTAGAGACTACTTTTGGAAAATCGTGCAGCCTCAGCTAGATTAATTCATGTCCTGTAGGACTGCCACCTGAATTAAACTGGCAACTGAAAGATTACACCTGTCCTAAATCAATTATTACTCAGGCACAGTCTTTAAGAGTTTAAGCCTTAAACGGAAGAATCCTGTATTCACAACAGTTCAGAAACTACATAGCCCTTAGGCTATTTTGCTTGCTCTCTTTCCCAAGGACTCCAGTGGTGAGTTGACTAACTCCTTGCTGCCAGAGGATAAATACGACGGCTAAAGTAGACACTAATGGCAGAACCAACCGATGACTACTGAGTCCATAAACTTACTTCTCCAGCATTATCATTGAGGCGTAAGGAAAGAACTCACGGATCTCAGAACATAACACTACTTCTGAGTACCACACGTTATTTAGAAACGGAGTTAATATACCTTAAGCAGTCTGTTGCCACAAATGGCACAATTACTGCCGCTCTGCAGCCTATGCACAGTCTTCATTGACAATATGAGCGGCTCTGAAAAGAGCCTTTGTTTCTTCACTCCCCAGACGTTCAGGTTGCCCAGTGTAGCTTCCTAGAGAGTCTACCTGCTCTGTACTTTCTGATGCTAGCTCTCAGGCTTCTTCGGCAGGACACCTCCTTGGGCGATGATCACACCACCCAACAGTTTGCTCAGCTCCTCATCGTTGCGAATAGCCAGCTGCAAACGACGCGGGATAATCCGTATCTACTTCCTGTTGTGAGAGGCGTTACCCGCTAACTCTAAGACCTCAGCTGTCAGTCTAACACGGCTGCTAAACAAGTGGGTGCACCAGCTCCAACACACTCAGCATAGTGTCCCTTACAGAGCAGTCGATGAACTTAGCCCACCACAAATTGCAAGCCTGCTCTGGAAGAGCGAGACCTCGACTTAGCGTGAGCCTTGCCCCTCTGCTTCCCACACCCAGACATCTCTCTACAGATGGCGGGTAAACCGCAACTGAAAAAGACGCTACTGGGCCCATTTATAGTCTGACAGTAGGTTGTAATGTGCTCTCTGATTGGCTGATGGCCGTCTATCCAATCAGAAAGTCCTACTGCAATCACCTCATTTACATACACGCCACTACCCACTATCCAATCAGATATTGGTTCCTCCACACGTCACTCGAGCGCCGCGCCTATAAATACCAGTCTTTCCACTCCCACAGCCGTTCTTCGCTTGCTTGGCGTGGGCGGTAGTTCTTCAAGCTGTAACTCTTGAGCTGTTAACTCTCATAGAGCTGTATACCGATCATGCCGGAGTTATCTTCAAAAGGTGCTACTATCTCTAAGAAGGGTTTCAAGAAGGCTGTAACTAAAACTCAGAAGAAAGAGGGAAAGAAACGCAAGAGGTGCCGGAAGGAAAGCTACTCTATCTACATTTACAAGGTGCTGAAGCAGGTTCATCCTGACACTGGTATTTCGTCGAAAGCTATGAGCATCATGAATTCTTTCGTGACTGACATATTTGAGCGCATCGCAGGAGAAGCGTCACGCCTAGCCCATTACAGTAAGCACTCAACCATCACATCTAGAGAGATCCAGACAGCAGTTCGACTGCTTCTGCCTGGGGAGCTGGCAAAGCATGCGGTGTCTGAGGGTACTAAGGCTGTCACCAAGTATACTAGCTCAAAGTAAACTTCCCAAGTAAGCGTCTGCACATTTAACCCAAAGGCTCTTTTCAGAGCCACCTAATTTCTCCCAAAAAGTGGCTGTAAACTTTGCAACTGTACCTCTCAAGTAGGTGGGCTAAAGAAATACTTGACGTTTAAGTTAAACTTAACGGTTCACAAAGGTATGTAACGCTGTGTGGGAGACAGCAGATAGCTATGTGGTTTCTTAATAGTAGAGGCACTACTCAGTTTACCTCAATTACAGCAGGAGTAGCCGAAGAGGAACCCTCTGAAAAATTAGTCGCTTGGAACACGTGGGTATGACTTGGCGGAACACTATCGGTGCTCCTGAAAGTTACATAGGTTTGCTTCCCCAGACTCCCCTCGGAAAACTAAAACTCAGACGACGTTGGGGTCATAAGAAAATATCTCATGTGCGTAGGACTCAGCACGGTAAGTTTGGTCTTGTGCAGTTGACTGGATGCCCTCCAACTGTGGGGACTTCAGCGTGGCAAGTCACGGTTTTTAAGCCTGACCCTTTCATGTGTATTTGAGGCTCTACAGTGTTGAGAGCATCTTGACATTCGTGTGTGAAAACAGTGCCTTCTCTCAAAAGTACTTCATATTGGAACGGAACAATCCTCTGGTAAAGCGCAATTAACTAATCCCTTTACGTTTCTTGTAAGATGTGGTACAGGTTGCTTGTCTGCTGTGTGATGGATCATTAACAGACTGTTTAAGCTCTATTACTAGATAAGCGGCACTAAACACACAAGCTTTAAAAAAATTAGTGTTAATACACTGAATGAAACAACCTTGAAAAGCAAGGATCGAATTGTAACTGGTATAACGGGAAGCCTCAAAAGCCTAGGTTAACCATCAAGTTAATTTTTAACTGGTTCAGAATTTGCGTGTTTTCTTTACATGAAGAAAATTCAGTGAAATTTCATTAAAAGTGCCTTACACATCCATCCATAGATGGACAGCCCCTCTAGAGCCCCTTGTGTGCTTCAGGTGGGAGTCCTCCAAGGAGCTAACAGCAACTGTACTCTCATTGTACTGAGAGTAGCAGCATGTAATCGGAGCCCCAGCTGCCCCAGTGACACAGCACATAGCTCCTAAATCCCTGTGAATTTCATGAATATTCTCTACAGGCAACTGATTGATGGAGAAATAACAGGACTGGGATGATCAGAGTCCTGGCTCCACTGCCCTGCAGTTTCATTGCCTCTGTTCACACCCTGATTTTACCCTCGTGCTGGTCCCAGTTCCAAGTGTTTACGCAGAGAGGACAAAATAAAGACAGGAAGAGACAGTCTATTTCAGTGGGTCTCTGAGAACAAGGAAAGCCTTCCCAGAGGATTTCCTCTCACGGCCCTTTTCTAGAACTGAGCCTAGTCCCAAGTCCTGCCTGAGCCATTCACCTACAGGAATGGGACCATGTGACTGGTAGGGACGAATCAATTTCCTTCTTGTAAACTTGGTATACTTTTTATTAAACGTAGTTCTAGATATTTTGTTTTCTTATTGTAAACGGTGTACTTCCCTATTCATATCTTCCAGCATTATATTTTTTACATGAAAGTATTGATTTCTGTGCATCTTTTTCACACCCTACTATACCTTGCTGCATTGACATTTTCAGATTGGCTTTTTGGTAAATTCTGGTGGGTTTTGCCTTTTTTGCAGTAATATCTGAAATTAGTAAACATTTTACTGCCTCCTTTTCATTAGTTCACTTCTAATTTCTTTCTCCTGTCTGATTTGAGAGGCTTATACCTTCATAATCATATTAACAGCAGTGAAGAGTGTCGACATTCCTGTTTGGTCCTTTATTTTCCTCAAGAATCTGCACTATTCCTCTTTAGATATATTTTGTTATAATAAGGAAGAATTCTTGTCTCAACTTTATTAAGAGCTGTAAGTCAAGAATGGATGTTGAATTATATAAAATGCCCTTTCAGCATCTCTGGAGAATCACCATAAACTTTTTCTTTTTAGATATACTATGAGGGGTTATTTTTATAAACTACCTAGTATTGCATCATCCTTGCATTTGTGCTACAAACCCCTGCTTGGGTATCATATGTAATTCATTTAATGTTCTGCTGAATTGTGGTTGCCAAGGTATCATTTACAATCTACACTTTAATACTACAAATAATCACTATTTTCCTTTTTTGTGTGTGCAGTGATGTTCAGCTTTTGGTATAAATTTTTATTCAATTCACAAACATGGAGGATAGCTGTCCTTTTAATAGTCAGGAACTACTGAACAGCATTGGAATTATTTTCTTAAAATTTTGGTAAAATTCCTTAAGACAATTTGGACTTGGGGCCTTTTCTCAGATGACAGTTCTTTCACAATTTTTTTTAATGAAATTATTCTGTTTCTATTTCCTAATAATTTGTAGTAAGTTTTGGTAATTAAATTTTTCAAGAAAATTAAAGCTATTGTCTTAAAGATAAGCAAATTGGTTTCCAATGATTTTATTTCCACAGTATTTGTAACTACAACTCCTTTATTATCCTTAATTTTGTATGTTTTTTCACAAACCACATTAATTATTGCTTAACCTTTTAATTAGTCTTAAAAACGTATTTATTTGCTATTTCTTTACTTTTACATTTATTAATTTCACTGTTTTTCTTTTCCCTTATTTTTTAAAATACTTTTTCCATTACTTAACCTTTCTGATTCCACTCAGTTTTTCATTTTTCTTATCTTTAACGGGGTGCTTAGTTTATAGAAATAGTCTTCACATTGCACGGTTTTGATATAAATGGATTTCATTTACCACAGTTTAAGTAACACTAATTGCCCAACAATATAGTTCAGATTTCATTAACAGTCAGTAATTGAATAAATTACAAACTCCACTGCTGACTCTTCAGTTCACAAGTCACTGCACAAATAACAGATGCACATCGTGATCAGTGACCTATCCTGTCACTTATTTTAAAATCTGTGGGTCACTTGTCACTGCACATTATTCAGTTTAGTCACAAGTAGAAACCATGTAGTTCAGCCTCCTTGTCTCCCACTGATAAACTTACATGACAAAAATGGATCATCAAAGGAGGAATCTGGTTGTTATAAATAAGTATGTGCAGATTTTTGTGTGGACATAAGTTTTCAAATTAGTTAAGTAAATGTTACAAGGAGCACGATTGCTGGCTCATGTGTTTAGCCTTGTAAGGAACTGGCAATAACTAAAAAGTGGAAACAACCAAGATCCCTTCAACAGATGAATAGACTAACTGCCGTCTATACAATGAATACTATTCAGCAATACAAAGAAACAAGATATTAATCCACGTAGCACAATCGGTGAATACATGCTGCTAAGGGAAAGAACCAGCCTGAAAAAACTGCACTTTTCAATTCCAGAGTTGACAATGATTTGGGAGCTATGCAGCTATCTGCTCTTTCATGTGGTCTTACCAGGACAGCTGGGATCTCTGATGGATAATGATGCTCCCTCCATACAATGTGGTGCAGATGCCTCATCTGTTAGCTCCTTGAAGGACTCCCAGCTAAGGCATTCAAAGGTTCTGCAGGGATGGCTCACTGTGTACGGAAGGGTGAGGCACTTTTTTCCCTATAGATTTTTACTGTAAATATTCAATCAAATGGTACTAAGGATGTTTTTTCACTATAAAGACGACGTACATACACTAAATCTTAAAAAGAAAAATGAAAAATATAAACAGATTGAGGATTCCCGCTAAGCCACAGGTTTTGGGAAGTAGTAATAATTTGATCCCTTCTTTCTGATGTTTATTCCAATGCCCTTTACCACTGATTTTTTTTTTTTTTAATGCTTGTCTGCTCAGAGTCCAGATGACGACAGAATAAATCTTATACCCAAAGTCCCCTGACTTGAATATTGGGCATCCGTATTTTGATAAATACCCTATGACCCAATTTGGAAACACTATCTCAGTCCAGTAATACAAGACACAAGCACTAATTTAATGAGCCTGTCATAGAACAAAAAGCAAGTAATCCTTCTAAGAAAAGTAATGCAAAAAGAGAGGAAATCCAGTTAATGTTACTCCTCTTTGCCAGCTGATTGTTGTTAGCTAGACTGTTGGGTTTCAATAAGAATTATTTGATATGGCAGGGTCTCCACAATCCAACGTTAACCTGTTCTCAGTAGCCCAGTTGACTCCAATAAATAGGTAGATGAAACGCTGGGCTTTGAGCCTCAAGTCTCAGCTGCTAGGGGGCGCTAACCTGACACGTAAAAAGGAAGCAAACCAGCTTTGGTTGATGTCCCCACGATAGACTCCTCTAAGATCTTAAAGTCTTTCCACAGCTCAACACCCTTTTCACTGTCATCTGGCAGAGTGTGCTTCTATTCAGAGAGCTCCCCTTCTTTCAATGGCTTCATTTGAGTTCTGAGGTTTCACGGAAAACACTGCAAATGCGACAACCCACTTAATGTTTAGAACCAGAAGAGTGTAACTACCTTGAAAAGTTACCTATTTCTAACCATGCCGACTGGTGTGAACGAAGCACACTTGGCAAATGGATCAATACACACATTTACTAGCTAGACCAGCCGTTTGTTCCTCTAGTAAGGCCTACTGGCACACGTTTAAAAAAGAGTCTACAGCCCTTTAAAAAAACAGTAGATGGCTCTTAAAAGAACCTTGGGATTATAAAACTTGCCTGGTGAGAAGCTTTTCACTTCGTGACGGCCTTGGTGCCCTCGGACACAGCGTGCTTGGCTAGCTCGCCGGGCAGCAGCAGGCGCGCGGCCGTCCGGATCTCCTTGGACACGATCCAGCTCTCGTTGTAATACGCCAGGTGAGACGTCTTGCCCAAGATTCGCTCGAAAACGTCGTTGATGAAAAAATCCACGATACTCACGGCTTTCGAAGAAATGCCAATATCGAGGAAAACGTGCTTCAACACCCTGTAGATACAAACAAAATAACTGGCGTTTTTGGAGCCTTTTTCCTCTTTGAGTTGTACTTAAGTTTTCTTAAAACTTTTCTTTTGTAGTAGCGCCCCGCCCTTTGAAGACACCTCTAACAACGTTACCATACAGCCCCTAAACGGCAAAAGCCTAACATGGCCCCCAAATGCGGTATTTATAGGTGAGGTGCAACTGTCTTGTTGGACAGTCAACATCTGATTGGCTAATGGGTAGGAGCGTGTATGTAAATAAGGTGATTCCAGTATGGCTCTCTGATTGGATACAGGCTATCAGCCAATCAAATAGCAAATCACCACCTACTGTCAGACTATAAATAGGGCCGTACCCAGTCTAATGCGACTTTTACAGTTTTAAAACAGGTATTGTATAATCCTTCCCGGTCGTGGAAAGCAGGGTGGCAAAGTAGGGGTGCACATTCTGCTTTGGCGGCTGGGGTTCCACCAATTTGGATCCTGGATGTGGACGTAGGCACCGCTTGTCAAGCCATGCTGCGGCAGGCATCCCACATATAAAGTAAAGGGAGACAGGCACGATGTTATCTCAGGGTCAGTCTTCCTCAGCAAAAAAGAGAAGAATTGGCAGCAGATGTTAGCTCAGGGCTAATCTTCCTCAAAAAAAAAAAAAAAAAAAAATTAACTAAATAAATGAAAACAATTTTAGTACCAAGTAAGTGGTGTGGCTCTTTGAGAATATGTGTGGATCATCAGAACATTCTGACTCCATTTCATGGGGTCATCAATCCAATCCTTCCCTCTGCTGCTAGAATCCAAATGAAGGCAGTGACACAGGCTGATCTCTCACTCATGGTTTCTTTCGCTCTGTGAGTCTTCTGAAATCCTGAAATTTATCAGAACTGGACCATATTTAACTAAGTTCGCCTTCAAGCTCTTTCTACCCTGTAGAAATAAAACTGATACTTGAATACCTTTTCCATTTTGAATTGTACTTTTTTACAACAGTCCAACTAAACTCATCAGTGTGTTCATCAACCAATAATATATGACCGTCGTATGAGAATGGCACCCAAATAACATGATGCTGGAAATAAGAGGTAAGCTTGTTGAAATATAACACTACTATTAGATCACTGACAGTTTACCCCTTAAAAAAATCTGGGAGAAAAATATGGCAATCTCTGAATGACTCTCCTCTTCCTTTGCTACCACAGAGAAATGTAAGTCCTATGTGATATAAATCATTTAATTCCTAACACCTTTATTCTGATTCTCCTTAATCCCAGCCATTCAGGTTCTGCTTGGATTCTAGGTTGGTATCTGCATTCTTTCTGGGTCATCCAGGATCTCATATCATCTCAAGAGCCCAGGTAGGGCCTGAATCCAGTAACAAGTGTCCTTATAAGAGACAGGAGAGAAGACACAGAAAAGATTATGTGAAAGATGAAGGCAGAGATTGAAGTGATGTGGCTACAAACCAAGGAACACAAAAGATTCCTGGAAGCCACTAGAAAGTAGGAGGGAAGTATGCGACAAATTCTCTCTCAGAGCATAAAGACGGAACCAGTTCTGCCCACACTTGATTTTGGAATTCTTCCTGCCAGAACTATACGAGAATAAATTTCTGTTGTTTTAAACCACCTAGTTTATGATAATTTGTTATGGCAGCCATAAGAAACTAATACACTCTGTTAAGAGGATGAAAACACAAGTTACAAACTCAAAGAAAATAGTTGCAGAACACATATCTGACAAAGGACTAGTATCTACAATATATAAAGAACTCCCAAAACTCAATAGTAAAAAAATATGAAATAATGGACAAACAACATGAAGGGGCATTTCACCAAAAAGGATATACAGACAGCAAATAAGCACATGAAAAGCTGTTCAACAGCATATATCATTAGGGAATAGCAAATAAAACCACAATCCTCTATTGGCTGAACCTGGTGCCTTGTGGGCTGCTTTGATTGGTTAGTCTCATCATTCCAGTGTTCCAAACACCTATTAGAATGGCCAAAGTCCAAAACACTGGCAACACCAAACGCTGGCTAGGAGATGAAGCAACAGAAACTCTCATTCATTGCTGGTTGTAATGTAAACTGTACAGCCACTTTGGAAGACAGTTTCTTATAAAAGTAAACATTGGCTTACTATTTGATCCAGCAATCATGCTCCTAGGTATTTACCCAAATGAGTCAAAATATATATATATATATATATACACACATATACACACACATGCAAACGAATGCTTATAACATTATTATGATGTTATATAAATCTTCACAATCACCAAAAATTGGAGCAACCAAGATGCTGTTCAATAGGTGAATGAATAAACTATGAAATATCCTTACAATGGAGTATTACTCAGTGATAAAAAGACATGAGCTATCAAGCCATGAGAAGGCATGAATGAAGCTCAAATACATATAGCTAAGTGAAGGAAGCCAGTCCGAAAAGAGCACATACTGTATGAGTCCAACCAATGTCATCCTAGAAAAGGAAAAACTACAGAGACACTAAAAAGATCCCTGGTTGCCAGGGTTTGGTGGTGGGAGAGGGTGGGGGTGAAGAGGTGGAGCACAGAGGATTTTTAGGGCAGGGAAACCATTCTGTACAATACTATAAAATGGATACATGACATTATGCATTTGTCAAAACCCACAGAACTGTACAATACAAAGAGTGGACCCTAATGTATACTATGGACTTTAGTTAATAGTATAGCAATAGTGGCTCATTAATTACGATGAATGTGCCACACTAATGTAAAGGGAGAGGAAGTGTATAAGAACTCTCTGTACTTTCTGTCCAATTTTTCTGTAAACCTAAAACTGCTTTAAAAAATAAAGTCATTTGAAAAAGGCAATCCCGAAAGATTACCTACTATATAACTCAATTTATATAACATTCTTGAAGTGACAGGATTAAAGAAAAGAGAATATATTAGTGGCCCAAGAATTGAGGAGGAAGTGTGGGTGGCAGAGAAGTGTCTGTGGCCATATAAAGGCAACATGAGGGATCCTTGTGGTGATGGAAATATTCTATATTGATTATATCAATGTCAATATCCTGGTTTTGATATTATACTAAGTTTTGCAAGATGTTACCTTTGTGGGAAACGAATAAAGGGTACATGGTATGTCTCTGTATTATTTCTTACAACTGCATGTGAATCTACAATTATCTAAAAATAAAAAAGTTTAATTTAAAAAATCTGTAGAGGGGTCAGCCCCGTGGGGTACTGGTTAAGTTCAGTGAGCTCCACTTCAGCAGCCTGGGTTCAATTCCTGGGCACTGACCTACACCACTCGTTGGTGGCCATGCTGTGGTGGCAACCCACATACAAAATAGAGGAAGACTGGGACAGATGTTAGCTCAGGACAAATCTTCCTTGGGAAAAAAAATTGTAGGATGCAATTAAAGCCAGGCTTAGAGGAAAATTTTGCACTAAATGTTTACATCAGAAAAGGAGAAAGTTTTCAAATCATTAATCTAAGCTTCTATGTTAAGACATAGAAAAAGACAAGCAAAATAAGTTCAGTGCAAGCAGAAAGAAAGAATAAAGAGGAGAACTCAATAAGATTAAAAACAGAAAAATAGAAAAATAATTGAAAGAAAAAAAATGCCCTTTAAAAAGATCGGTACAATTGAAAAAGCTCTATTGAAACTGATAATAAAAGAGAGAAGACACAAATTACCAATCCTAGAAATAAAACAGAGGCTATAACAACAGACTATTAAAATGATAAGGGAATACTATAAGCAACCACAAACTAGCAGAATTCACCCAAAATAAATTAGAAAAATTGAGTATTCTTATAACTTTTAAAGAAACTGAAACAGTAATTAAAAACCTTATGCAAATGAAATCTGCAGACCCACAAGATTTCACTGGAGAATTCTACTACATATTTAAAGAACTCACACTGATTTTATACAATCTCTTCTCAAAAATAAAAAAAGAAAAAACACTTACCTGACTCATTTTATGAGTCTAAATTTACCCTGATACTAAAATCAAAGAACAGTACAAATAGAAGGAAATTACCGACCAACATCCTTATGGACATAGTTAGAATATTAGCAAATCAGGTCCAGCAGTGTATAAAGATCAAGGAATGCAAGACTGGTTCGATATTTGAAATCAATCAATGTAACCCACCATGTTACCAGCATAACATAGACAAACAACATCATCATAACAAGGAATGTAGAAAACATTTGATAAAATTTACCATGTTTTCCTGACTAAAAACTCTCAACAGACTTTGAATAGAAGAGAACTTCCTGAGTCTGACAAAGGGTATCTACAACTACCCTACAGGTAACATTAGACTAATGGAGAGAGACTCAATCCTTCCCCATAAGATCAGGAACAAGGCAAAGATATCCATTCTCACCTTTAAATTCAACTTCATACTACAGTCCTTCATAGTACAGTAAGGCAAGAAAAAGAAATTAAAGGCATACGGATTTCAAAGAAGAAAATAAAACTCCCTCTACTTGAAGATGACACGATTGTCTATGTGGAAAATCATGAGGAATCTACAAAAACAAAAATAAAACCCAAAACTCCTAAAATTAATGATTGACACTTTAAGGGACTAGAAAATCTAAAATAACTTTAAAAAAGAAAAATAAAGTGGGAGGAATCACTCGCCCAAATTTCAAAACTTATTATATAATACAGTAATCAAGACTGTATAGTAAAGGGTAAGGGATAGAGAAATCAATGGTCCAGAATAGAGAACCCACAAGTATGGGCAACTGGTTTTTGACAACCATGAAAAGAAAATTAATGGAGGAGGAAAAGTCTTTTCAAGAAACGATGCTGGAGGCAAAAACACGAACACTGACTGAAGCCTCACGCCTTTTACAAAATTTAACTCAAAATGGATGGTAGATTTAAAAGTAAAACTATAAAACATTTAGAAAAAAAGAAAAATCCTTGGAATTTAGAGCTAGGGAAAAAGTTCTCAGATATGAAACCAAAATGATCCAGAAAAGAAAAAATTGATAAATATCTTCAAAAGTAAAAACTTCTGTTCTGTAAAAGTTCCTATGAAGAGGATTAAAAAAACAGCTATAGACATAAAGAAAACACTTGCAAACTATATATATATGACAAAGGGCTTATATTTAGAAATACAAAGAACTTTCCAAGCTCAATAGTAAAAAAACCAAACTACTTCATTTAAAAAATGGGCAAAAGACACAGAGACATTCTACCTAAGAGGACATATACATGGCAAACAAGCACATGAAAAGATGTTTAACATTAATAATCATTAGGGAATTGCAAATTAAGACTATGATGAGATATCAATATACACCTATTAGGCAACTAAAATAAAAAATAGCGACAACATCAAATCCTGGCATAAATGTGGAGAAACTCCATCTCTCATACACTGATGAGAAAATAAAATGGTACAGTCACGTTTGAAAATACTTTGGCAGTTTCTTAAAAACCTAAACATATGCTTACTATGTGATCCAGAATTCTCACTACTGAGCATTCATCCCAGAGAAATGAAATCTT